AATATCGTAAAAATATGCTATTTAAAATTATTACAATTATTTATACTTACAATTAGTGCGATAGAGAGTTTCAGAAAGAGAAGGCATCCTATACATAAGTAACAACTCAGGAATAATACTTTTCTTCTGCTAAATAGTGACATTACCAGCACAGAAATCACGGCCATTCCCATATTTGCAACACCAGTGGCTATAGTCGCATATTGAGCACCGGCAATTCCCAGGCCAGCACTGAGGAATATGGTATTTGAGTAATAAAAAACCGCGTTAATGCCACTAAGTTGCTGACCAAATTGCAGAAGGCACACTAAGAATAGAGCTAATCTCACGGTCGGCTCTCTCAATACACGCTTAATGCTCCACGTTTCACTTGCCGATCTTGTCGCTAATTCTTGTTGCAAGCTAGCGATCTCGTTTTGCAAGAGCATTATATCCATGTTGCGCAAACGGCTGAGCTCTAAAAGCAATCCGAATTTAAGATATAAAAAATAATAATGGTAAACGAGCTAAAATGCAAACTAATAGATTCTAGTTTATATCATACCCTCGGATGATCGTTTGTAAGATAGTTGTACACACCTTTAAGAGCCTTTCCTTGTTCTCCTTTGATTATGTACAGATACTTTGGACTTTCCGGCAAAGTCAGTACAGTTAATAATAATGCAGCGAGACATAGCGGTGAGAAAGATGCTAACATTATATGCCAGGACTCAAGAGTGCCCAGGACAGTTTCGAGCCCGGCAATCTGGCCCATCAGCACGCCGCAGGTGATACCCAATTGACACAAGACTCCAACGGCACCCCTTAATTTTAAAGGTGCTATTTCAGTCATGTACATCGGGACCAAAGAAGTAGCTAGACCACCGGAAAGTCCTACGAATATATTTAGAACCATTACATTACATATTATGAAAATTTTTAAATTAAATTAAAAAAATGAAGTCTTATACGTGCCTTCAAATTGAAGGTACAAAAACCAATCGGTTCTATTCTTTTAGTGAAAATGATCTTTTAAGTAAATATAACATCGTACCAAACATTCTGCGTTCTTTTGATGTAAGAAACGGTTATATTTCAACGGTTTTCCTAAAATATCTTGCACAATATATCTTGGCACAAAAATTTATTGTTAATACTGTAGTACGATAAGTTTAAAAAAAAAAAAAAGAAGCTGACCAGCTTTTACGAGCTTACCAAGTTTTCTATCGCTACGTGTTCTTGCATTAATTAAGTGCTTAATTGAAATCGGATTAAATCGAGTACGGATTAAATTAACAATTTTTTAACTCACCGACAATCACTCGGCCAAGCAGAAAAAGCTCGACTGAGTTCATGGTTCGTACGAACATGAACAGAACGGCTCCTACAATCCCGCAAACATTTCCAATGCTCAGCGCGCCTTTCCGTCCGAATCTGTCGCTTAGCCAGCTAGCGATTAAAGACCCAGACACACCTCCGATAAGAAAGACCGATACTATGACGGACCAAAGTATCTGGAGCTCGTGGCTGGACAATTGTACGTTATATCTTTCCCTGATACTATCATTGCAGAACGATTGCATAAGCTGTAAGCCAAATATACGATAGTGTACAGTTTCAAGTAACACTATGCTCGATGAAATCGCATATTAGTCTACTACGAACATGAGCAGGATTGTTCATGACACCTAAGTTATATCCTGCTGGTAATGTTGATCCCAGGCAGCAAGTGGCACCACCCAGTACCAGCAACGGGGTCCATCCACCAGGGTCGGCATCGTGTGCATTGTTACACTCCTATATAAAAGAAATTACGCAGATTAGAAATTATGTCACATCGTGAGAAAATTTTCTCTCCTTTTAAGTGAAAGGTGAACTGTTTATTACGCATAATAAACATTTATTTTGCGTAACAGAAGCGATATAACTTAAAAAATTTCTTTGTTAATTCTTACGGATACAACTTACAGATATATATTTATAAGCTACCATTATTTTCTATTCAGCAGTATAGTCACAAATGCAAATAATACTTTTAATGCAAATACAAGTTGTAATGTAATCTATAAATGTTATTTGCAGCATCTATTGGCACGAGTCTTAATATGGCGATGTATGAAGATGGATTCTGATAATTTCATATCATGTCATCAATTATACGATAGAATTCTTAGATATCGTCCGCTTTGCAAAACAATCATTAATAAAGAATTGTTTAATACATTGTAATATATATGGCTGGATTACATCAATGTAACGTTAATCCTAATAAATCTAGTAAATATTTCCAGTTATTCTTTTTTTTTTGCTTTACTGACGCAGGAAAAAAAAGAGAGAAAAAAATACAAATTCCAATTTTCAAAATTAAATTGAGTAGCGGACACTGCGATATCTTTAAAATAATGTACGGGCTTCACCAATCTCTTAAAAAATAAAATTTACGATATGTAAAATCAGAAGGCCATACCGCTCACGTAATTAAGCATCGTAAACAATATGAAGTGTGTTCTGCACCCTCGTAGACCAATCAGTGATAACATGGAAAAGCCAGGACGGAATGATGGAATAAAATTCAATAAAACCACACACCATGGGCATTACCTGTAAACTGGTCAGATAGCCAACCATGCATTATTATGAATTTGTCATAGAGCAGAAATATACCTTTTTACCGTTTTGTCTTAAGGGCATGCACGCATTCGCACATACACACACACACATACACCCACGCTCGGCATATTCTTCTATTAACTGATGCGAATCAAATTATGGGCTGCAATATTCATATTGATTATTGATGTATACATGTTAAAAATATAATATATTTTGACTCTAATGATAATTCTATAAATATAGATACAAATATATCTCCAGCTCGAGATACCATAAAGAAACATGCATCAATATAAATAATGAGTGTTACGTTAGCAAAGCAATCGTTATTAGCAATACTTAACAGATAAGCTAACGTTATTTGTCATCATTTTAACATCAAAGACATCTTTAATACTTTAATCTCAGCACTCACTCTCTTTCCTTGGAAATTTTGCTTATCATATCAAATACTGTACTTTGTCATATAATTTTGCTAATACAGGGAGATACACAAAGAGCATATCTCAATCATTTAGGAAACGTAAGGATAAAGGCCCTCACATCGTGTTCTCAAATCAATTAAACCACAGATCAAAGTGGCGAGAAAAATCTTAATTTTTTCAGCCAGAAAAATACATATTTTTTATAAAGTATAATTTACAAATAATATTATACATACAATTGAAAGAAAAAGCTTATCACCAGATTATGACATTAAATTAAAAATTAGTGAAAAATATCTATAGAAAAAGAGTCATATTATTATCTTTCATGATAGTAGTTGCGGGTGATTAAAAACTGCAAATAAACTAGGATAATTGTCCCTATTATATATTAGTGTGCCTTTGAGCTAAATTATTACTAAATTAATTATTAAATATTGTAGCTTTAATTTTATCTGCTTTTCTTATAATGTATTCTTAATTCTAAAAAATGTTAATACTTAATAATTTTAAAATAAATAATAAAAATAAGAAACATGTTTTGTCTCTATTAGCGAGTCCTCCAAGCGGCGATGGCCCCAATTTGTGTGCATTTGACTCATTTTAACATACAGTTACTAAAACAGATAATATATGTAAGCTAAATGTTCAAGTTAATATTACATAAATTATTCTTTTAATTATACTTATTTCAATGTACATACACTCATATCAGACAACTCTCAGCTTCAGTACAAGGCACACTATAATGTGATTCACTCAATCAGAAGAAAGAATTTTATGAATTAATCAATTAAAGAATGCTTCAAAGCATTTGCAGTGTGAAGTGGATCGCACCCCTTGAGACAAGCTTAAAACCTTGCGGTACGTATTACTGGATTCATATAAATGCTTTATGTTTTCTTTCGAAAAATGTTCAAAATATTTTAATAGTTGAAAAATAAAATATTATCTTTGGGATATCGTATACATTAATAATTCAATTTAAT